TCCTCCACCAACCCCCTCCCCTGCTCCGCCGCCGCCAACCCCGCCGCTCTCGTCGCCCCCGCCGCCGCTGCCTCCTGGCAATCCCCAGCCACCGGTATTGCTGGACCCAAGATCCCTCTCCTCGATCCTGGCCAGCCCGGCCACGCCCGCCACCCTCAGGTTGTGCTCCAAGTCTGCCGCACGCTCTGGGTCCAGCTCGACCGCCGTCACGCGGCCAAACGCGCCCGCCAGCGCGAGCGTCGTGCCGCCGCAGCACGCGGTCACGTCGGCGCAGCTCAGCCCCCGCGCCGCCGCTGCCGCCGCCGCCAGCCCCGGCGCGCCGTCGGCCGCGCTCGCCCCTGCGCCGCCTGCCGAGATAGCGGGCGGCCGCAGGCCGGCCGCCGCCGCGGTCACAACGGCCGCGAGGTCAGCCATGGCGGTTGCGCTGACGTCATCCATGACCGAGTAGGCCGCCACGTCGTCCACGCGCAGCGCGCAGCGCGCGTCGAACGGCAGGCGGCTGAACAGCGCGTCGGCGCGGCCGGTTGCGTGGGACACCGACGCCGGGGCCGCGGCGCCCTCGATAACCTGGCGCGGTTTGCGATTTGCATCGCGTGACGTGCATTTGCAGGGTTTGGCCAAACATTGAGGTTTGCAGGCATCAAATGTGGGTGAGTCCCTTCATTTGGGGCCTGCACCCCGACCTTCCTGCCTGGTGGCGGGCGGACTCTTGTTGGACCAAGCCTTAGGACATTAAGGCCTTCAAAAGCAGCCCTCGGCGCAAAGTGCGAGATTTCATGTTGTCTTTGTGGCTCAAAGAAAAGGGCATTCCAGCGGCGGCTGCTCCCAAACCTAATCCCTGAATGCCCTACCAAGCGGCCGTCGAGCGCCGCGATAGCCTCCTCCGCCCGGCCCGCGTCAACCACCGCGCGCGCCCACCCGCGCGAGCGGCCGCGGAAGCCTTGGGCCGCTTGGACTGTGTTCGGTGTGTCAACAAGATTGAGCGGGGGCCGGGGGGTTGACGCTTGATAGGCGTGGGGCCGCAGCCAACCACAGCAAGAGGCAGCTGCCGAGATGCTGCTGCCGGGAGCTCTCCCCGGCCGGAGCGGCCCCGCCCCGCGTCGCGGACGCACCTCTGACAAGCCCGTACGGCTGCAGCGCCGCCGCGAGCCGCTGCTGCAGCCAGCCGGGGCCGTGCGCCTGCGGCAGGCCACTGACGAAGAGCGTCGCGTGGCGCGGGGGGTCCGGCTCAGATGCGCCCTCCCACCGCCGGACGACCAGCCCCCCCTGCGCGAGCAGCCGCGCCCCGGCCTCAGCCAGCAGCTGCTGCATGCTGACGTGGCGCCGGACGCGGCAGTGGCAGGGGGGCCCGAGGCGCAGGAGGTGGCGGATGTGGACGGGGCAGGGCTTGGCGCCGCTCGCGTTGCTGCCGTCCCCGCCTGGGGCGCCGCTCGCTCGGCTGTTGCTGCTGCTCGGGCAGCCACAAGGGCCCCCGCCGAGATCCCTCCAGAGGTGCAGCTTCGAGCAGTGACCGTTGGGCAGCAGCCGCGGCCGGCGCCGCCGCGCGCCGCCGCCGTCGCCGCCGACGCGCCTGCAGCCGCCGGGGCGCGCCCCCGGCAGCGCCTCGGAACCAGCGCCGAGCGCGTCCACGTCCGCGTGCGCCACCGCCCCGGCCCCGGGCTCCAAGGCCAAGGCCAAGGCCGCTGCCTCTTCCAGCACCGCCATGCACACCTCGGCCGCGCGCTCAATCGGCACGGCCGCCAGGCGCAGCGCCCGCCCCCCGCCGCCGCCGCTGAGTGCTGCCGCCGGCCGCTGTGGCAGGAGGCCTGCCAGCTCGGGCCGCGCCGACAGGCGCAGCGCGAGCGCGTCGCTCGCGAGCGCGGGGTGCAGCGCGAGCGTCGCTGCGCCGGCCGCGGCCTCGCGGGCGCCAAGCTCGGCCCTGAGCGGCACACCGGCGGACTCCCAGTGGAAGAATCGGCTGCCGGGTGTCGCGCCCTTGGCGCACGCGTCGTGTGCGGCGGCGACGCCCGCAGCCGCTAGGGAGTCGAGCAGGCGGCGCGCCGCTGCTGCTGCTGCTGCGGCGGCGGCGGCGGCCGGGGCCTCGGTCGCGGCCTCCGGCATGGGCTGGCGTGGCGGTTTGTGGCTGGGAAAGGGGATGGATAGGACGACTACCTCTGTGTCCGCCGCGTCCCTGGCGGCGGCGGCTGCAAGGCAAGTCCGATTGTCAAGGTGGCGCAGGCACACCAAATCTGATAGGACGAGGCGGTTGCTGCCGCGACTGCCTGTGCTGCGGCCGCGCCGGCCACCCCCAGCCTTGGCGGTTTCGTCGGCCGCACCATCGCAAGCGCCGCCAGGCACGGTGACTACCGCAATTGGTGCGCCTGATACAACGCTGGTTTCCATCGCAGAAGGCTGAGGTGGCTGGGGTGGATCGCACAGATCACATTGCAAGATCAGTAGCGGGGACAATCCATTCGCTCTACGTACTGCAGCGCTTTACAATCGCGTTGGCCCCTGTAATTTTAGTCGATTATGTACTGTCATCATTGCACAGCATCCCCATCTTGCAAGACCACAAAGCCAGGCTCTGCACTTCTATCCAGCACGCAGTCATGAAGCCATTACTGGCGCGATTGCTTCAATGTGGAGTGCTGCAGCAGGCAGCCTCGGCGCCCTGTGCGGCGTGGGGCCGGCTAGCGAGCTCTGCAGCAGCTGCGTCGACCGCACCGCCGCGCCTGCCGTGGCCTCCCGCGCGCACATGCGCCATGACAGCAGCGCCACCCGCCGCGGCAGCGTCGCAGCGGCAGTTCTCGTCGTCCGCCGCCGCCCAACCGCTGACAGCCGGCGGCGGGCCGCCCCAGCAGCAGGCCCAGCAGAAGCAGGCCCCGCGGAAGAAGCAGCAGCGCGCGCCCGACCCTCAGCCGTCGCAGCGCAGCCTCCGCGGCAAGGCGACCAACGAGTATAACCGGGAGCGCGCGGCCTGGCGCCGCCAGGTCGGCGCGCTGCGGCGCCAGTGGCACGAGGAGCACCAGGCGGCGCGGCGGGGCGCCGCCGACGCCGCGGCGCGCGACGCCCGCGAGCGGCGCGCGCTGGCCGACCTGCGGGCGAGCCAGAAGCAGGAGGACAGTGGCCATGGGCCGATGCTGCGGGACCTGCGCGCCGCGGAGCGCGAGCTCGAGGCGGTGGGTCATGCAGTCCTGGGCCGAGGGCGGCGGGGGGAAACAGGAAGATTGAAGGGGACGAGCGCAGCGGCGGCGGCGGCAGTGGCCGGACGTCGTGCCGCGTTGGCTCGCCGCCCGCCTGTTCAAGGGGATGCCCTCAGTCGGGCATGGCCCGGGCCACTGCCCCACGCACCGCTCCCCGCTGCTCCCTCAAATGTCGGCCCTCAATGGCAACGCGACCTGCCCGTTCTGTACCGCCGCTCAGGCCGAGCGGCGGCTGCGGATGGCGTACCGCACGCGAATCAGGGAGCGCATCCTGGAGCGGTACAAGCAGCAGAGGTGGGGGCCGCGGCGGCGCGGGCCGCAGGGGCTGCCGCACTGCAGCACGGGCTGTGTGCGTGCGGCCGCCTCGCCGTGCTGCAGCGCCGAAGAGCAGCGGGCGCCACCTCGTGCGGCGCGGTGTTCACGCGGCCCGCTCCGCCTTGTTGTCCCCGCCGGCAGAGGGGCCGGCCCTTGCGGTTGCTGCCGAGGGCACGCGACTGCCCCAGCCAACGTCGGCTCCGCCGCTGCGCCCGCCTGTCTGCTGCTGCCCCGGTGCAGGTATGAGGAGTTGCTGGGGCGCAGCCGGCACTGGATCGCGCGCGAGGCGTTGGAGGACCGTGTCAGGCAGGCTGTGGAGAATCCAGTCAGCATGTGAGGCCCCACCGGTGCGGCTGGCTAGGCGCCCGCGCAGAAGGGCAGGCGGCACCCTCTGCCGTTGAGTCGAGGCGGCAGAAGTAGGGTGGGTTGTACGCCCCTGGAGGCGCCTCTACAGAAGTCCGTCTCAGCTGCGGAACCCCTATGTACGAAGGTATCCACCCGTGTAAATATTGTCACTAATGCTCACAGATCCGAAACGCTGCTGCCACCCCCGAAACAACGTCGTGGGGCTTCAACCCCGCAAGTTCATTGGCGTGCGAAGTCATTCCGTACCCGTTGCTTTTGGTTTTGGCGACCGCGTTCGCCGCCACAACTGATAGACACACCCGTCGCGGAACACAGTCTACGTGGCGTGCGAAGCGCAGGCGTCTTCGTCCCTCTAGCGCTGCCGCGAGCGATGTCTGGAACTTCTTGGATGTTTTCTTCCTCTCACCAGCGTACTGCCACCGGAGAGGCACAGGTCGCCGAGCAGCGCCGCAGACGGCGCAAGCACCGCAGCACGGCGCCGCAGCGGCAGCAGCAGCAGCACGAGGAGGAGCAGCAGCAGAAGCAGCATGAGCAGCTCGACGACCCGCTGGGCTTTCTGACGCGCATCACCGTACGCGCCGCGCCGCCCGCCGACGGCAAGCGCTGCGCGTCGCTCGACGGGCCGCCCACAGATGAGTCCTCTGGCGACGAGGCCGGCGCCGCCGGGCCGCGGTCGCCCAAGGCGGTGCAGCCGCTGGCGTACGCGGCGGTTGGGGCGCTCACTGCATACTATGGCATCAAGGGCATACTCGGGGTGAGCCGGGCGCTGCGAACTCGACGGGGGCGCTTTTTGGCGGCGACGACACCCGTTGTGCGAGAGTAGAGTGCGGCTCCCTGCATGGACGCCGGCGGCGAGCCCGGCCCGACCGCCTCCGCCCGAGCCCTGCCCAAAACGCAACGCCGCTCCCCCCGAAAAACCGCCCGCCGCCCGTTTCCCCAGGGCTACCAGCAGCTGCGCCGCCGCAACCTCCGGGCCCTCATCCGCACCGTGTCGCCCGTCCTCGGGTCCCTCGGCGCGACCTACTGGCTCGACTTCGGCTCCCTCCTCGGCGCCCACCGCGAGGGTGACGTCATCGCCCACGACAACGACGCCGATGTCGTCGTGCTCAACCCCGACTGGGACGAACTGCTCGTGGCGCTGCGCGCGGCCCTGCCGCAGTACCGCGTGTTTTTCGTGGTCCCCAGCGAGGACCGCAGCATACGCTGGATCCGGCTGCTGAACGGCGTGGGGGTGATGGACGTGTACGGCGCGTTCGACGGCGGCGCGGCGGCGCCGGGCATGGTGGGCGGCCCTTCCTGAGG